CGCGTCGCGCGCGCGCGTGTCGTGTGTGTGTGTGTGTGTGTGTGTGTGTGTGTGTGTGTGTGTGTGTGTGTGTGTGTGTGAGTGTGTGCGTGTGCGTGTGCGTGTGCGTGTGCGTGTGTGTGTGTGTGTGTGTGTGTGTGTGTGTGTATGCGCGCGCGCGTTTGTGTAGCTGCGATTCAAGAGTACCTTGATGCTGAAATGCACGTGAGAAAAGCAACGGCTGATTAAAAATATTAACATACCTGACTCTCGGTTAGTTTCTCTGGCGATGTTAACTCTCCACTTGCTCTGTCTAATAAGTTGCTGTGCACAGTCGCATCTGAGCTTTATATAGTGATGCGGGTGTCGATGCTCTTTCGTGGAACTATGGCGGCTCTAATGGACCTATGTCCTTGGAGGCCAGTATTCGTAGCCAATCGCACATCCGCCCGTACCATCGCATACCACCGTAGGGAATGCACAAAGGCCGTAAGACTGGTTCTTCGGCGAAAATAGCCTCGGGCCCGGACAGTGACGTCACGACTTTCCAGGTATCGTGATGATCGCATCACGCGTGCGAGATCATTGTCTGTACGGCTGGCCGACGTCTCGACGACAATGTACCGCAAAAGAACGGCGGGTTTTTGAGTTAAGTCAGGCATCAGAGGGGCCCCGAGAGAGTCGCGATGGATCCTAGATGGATCAGCTGCAAACCTCAGCTGCGTGCAGTTCCGTTATGCGTTGTGAGTGTGTACGCCACGTCCGTGTTTGCAACAATACGGGACAGAGGTGTACGACATCGTACAATATCCATTAACATCGAGATGTTGATGTAATTATGATCACGTATGTTTTCTACTGATCTCACGAGGAACCATATCTTTATTATGCCTCTCGGCCTGTAGCTCGCGCGGCTCCACGTTCTGACAAGGATATAAGTGAAATTGAATTCCGTGAAACCGAACAAAATTGAGGTTTGATGTATTAATTAGACCGGATACAGGCCCTCGGGCCTATTCCCGTAAACCGCTATTCTAAACCGGTCGCTCTTCCAGTGCTGGTGGTCACGATTCTATGTTACGTTTGTGTATTTACGTTTGTGTTCGTGTGCATGAAAATTACAATAAATATGATATGATATATGAATACGAGCAAACGCATATATATATATATATATAATAGTTAATATATAGTGGACATTTTCCGCACGCATTTACGCACGCAACCCCTTACCCATCCACACGCTCATATCTATGTGGGTATAGCATTATCCCGCCCACAGACGTAAATCGATGCACCTAGCTAAAAAGAAGTCTAGACACGATAAACGTCCAAACTGATACGTTTCCTTCTAGAACGTGCTGCAAACTATTCGCGTGGGCACGCCACCTTGCTTGCGATTGATCAACGTTGATGTCAGGGTTAACGGTAGTAGAACGCCTGATCGTGGCCGCTCTGCCGACCTTCGACTCACACATACGTAACAATTCGAGCCCAATGTATCTCTAGCAGCATATTGTTTTATTGTTTTCAACGCTCACAATGCATATTGTTACGCGACCAAGGGTGATACAAGCATACAGGTCGTTTGGCACGCAGCGGTGATTACGTCAAGCAATTAGCTACGCTTGTCAACAATTCCCCCGCGGACTAAATCGCAGGGTTCCAAGAGCATTCAGTGTTGACAATGCGTCTGAAGAACTCCGTAAGTTATGCTTCTTGAGATTTTCACTTAAAACTAGCCCTTCAACCTATGAGAATATTCAGTCGAAGGTGAAAGGCATTATCGATAGTTCAAGCGACAGTAAGTGTATTGGATCGTTGCTGTAGGAACTTCTTGTGGTGACAACGTTTTCGTGTTCAAACAACGTAATTACGATTTTGCCGCCTACTTTTATCCAAGGCTAACGGTCAACGTTATTCAAATTGTGAACTTGCCAGTTGATTTTTAGTTCGTGTCACGTCACACGCTGTCCGTAAGTGCGACGACTGGCCGATAACTAATAGTGCTAATACGAATTCCTAATGCTTTACCAACACCGGTACCACATTAATTCACGTACTATACTCGAATTCAAAATTTTCTAAAAGTATAGCTTCAGTGTGACAAAACGATCAGTTCATTGAGACGTCTTCTCATCATTACAACTGACTCGGGAATAACGATTAAATCTATTCAGATGGTTTACTTGAGGCGCGACTGATCTGTAAGTTAACAATAAACCTATTGAAATCTCTTCATTAAAATGTAGCCCGATGCGTACATGGATGGTGCGTGTACGCAGTGCAGTGTATATACAGCTACTATGGCGCACGCACGTTAACGATGCGTATATTGCTGCCGCTTCCCTACACAGTGGTTCTATTCACCGCGTGTATACAATCGCGATTTCAAATTCCCGCTTTGGAATTTGCCTCCGCTCGCATGCTCTCGCCCGCCCAATATGGGCCGTACCCCGTCATTGTGTTTAGCAAGGTGGCCGTTATTCACATACACCTGCCCGTCCCGACAAGCGTGCCAGCATGCCAGCTGTCGTGCCGACGTCTACTAGAATATGTTTTAACCGCGCTGTTGGTGCCGTGGTAGTGCCCTGCGCTCTCTCGCTCACCTTCTCTCTCCTGCTCTCTCGCGCGCGCTTTCGCTCTCCCAATTTGTGCGATGGGGCCGAGTCAACGGACGTAGTTGGTGCACTAGTGTTCAATGGTCGGACTTTTCGCCCCCATGTTTCAAATCATTCTGGCGATTATCGTCACATCCAACCTCGGTGAGTGCACGATTACGGGCTGATATATTTCCATTAAGACACGAGTCGCTTGCTTCGTATTTCGCCATCAACGGGCGCACGCCTGCATGTTGTCACCGCGATACGTTACAGGCGATTTGATACGAGATGCATTGCTGGTACCGGTATGATCGTTTGCAGAGTACGCAACCGGATATTCTCGCAGCTGCTATACGTGCCATTATGGAGAGAGTACGGGCGGTAACATGCTTACGCGACTACTAGGTGAGTAGACCTGGTTGGCTGGTTTCCGAGCTGAGCAAAAACCCGTTAAAGTGACTATGTCATTGTACATTGTTCCAGTGTTTTATTTACAAAGTATATCCCCTTGACTATCAAGATACAACTATGGGATTGTTCGCTATTTCTAGTTGAATCACTGCTCTATACGTCATGTCTTACCGTTCGGGTTGATATAAAACAAACGCCCGCGTTTGTGTTGTCTATGGCAAGTATCGCAATTTGTTTAAACTAATTTCAACACGTTTAGACTTCTACCCTGTTCTGAATGTCGAATATTTCTCATGTACGACCTGTACTTCCTTATATAGACATATCATGATAGGGGTGGATTCTGAAGAATTCAAAGCATCAGCCACCTATCATGACTGCATCCCTGTTTTCCTAGTATGTGGCAAAGATGTTCTCAGTTGTAATAGAATAAATAGGATAACATACTTCAGAATAGAAAATATATATATTATGTATGTATTATACATTTATTCTGTATTATTATTATAGTGTATTATTAGCTCTTGATACAACGGATGCCTATTACAGAAAGTGTTGTGCTGACTGAGACAGAGAAATGCGATGACCCGGCTTCTCTGGCACGCGCCGACACAGACTTGCTGTATTCGTGCTCTGGATCATGCGTGAAGGAGAAAACACGAGCGGACGACGGTAAGCTGGTAGCATATTGCGTTCGCGCGTGTTTGTGTGCGGCGTGTTCGCGTGCGTGTACTTGTAATACTTCCAAAGCATACTAAGGAATATTAAGGTATCAAATATATAAATAAACTAATATATGAATCACTAAATTTAATAATAGAAGAACAGTTCGACAAATAACTGTTTATTGCATGCATACCTTTGAACGTCTAAAGATTCGTTTTGCATATGAAATCTAGTTATACACATGCGCATGCACGCTAGTTCGCACGCACACACTTGAGAGATTGATAGATAGATAGATAGATAGATAGATAGATAGATAGATAAATAGATTAGATAGATAGATAGATAGATAGATAGATAGATAGATAGATAGATAGATAGATAGATAGATAGATAGATAGATAGATAGATAGATAGATAGATAGATAGATAGATAGATAGATAGATAGATAGATAGATAGATAGATAGATAGATAGATAGATAGATAGATAGATAGATAGATAGATAGATAGATAGATAGATAGATA